TGTAATACATCACACCAGATATCAATACCCTGACTTGTAATACATCACACCAGATATCAATACCCTGACTTGTAATACATCACACCAGATATCAATACCCTGACCTGTAATACATCACACCAAATATCAATACCCTGACCTTGTAATACATCACACCAGATATTATTGTGTATTACAGGTCAGGGTTACAAGTCACGGTGTTGATATTTGGTGTGATGTGTTAGAAGTCAGGGTATTGATATTTGGTGTGACGTATTACAGGTCAGGGTTTTGGTATTTGGTGTGATGTATTACAGGTCAGGGTATTGATATCTGGTGTGATGTATTACAGGTCAGGGTTTTGGTATTTGGTGTGATGTATTACAGGTCAGGGTTTTGGTATTTGGTGTGACACATCACACCAAATATCAACACCGTGACTTGTAACACATCACACCAAATATCAACACCGTGACCTTGTAACACATCACACCAAATATCAGCACCGTGACTTGTAACACATCACACCAAATCCAAACACTGACCTGTAACACATCACACCAACTATCAACACCGTGACTTGTAACACATCACACCAAATATCAACACCGTGACTTGTAACACATCACACCAAATATCAACACCGTGACTTGTAACACATCACATCAAATATCAACACCCTGACCTGTAACACATCACACCAAATATCAATACCTGACTTGATGACCCTTCGTCTCTGTTTGATACTTATTTTCGTTTTTTTTAATTTTACTATTTATAGTGATTCTCTGACATTTAAAGCTGTAATATTGTAATAATAGTTTTTCCCATAAACTTGAAGATGACACATTATTATCATCTTTCACAGACATGTATAAATGTTAACCAATAATAGTATTATAGTTTTTACAGTTTCTTATTATTTATACTACATCTTAGTCAACAATGTATCAGCTTTCGAGATTATCAAAACCTGAAAGACGGGATGACACTTAAATTTCTTAAACCAGTTTTAACTATTTAAGTTACTGTTGTAAGATCTGAGAAACCACAAGACAAACTAGAAGTACTGAACAAAATTAGTAAGTACGTAAGGATTATTATCACTAAGTGGTGACCGTAGAATTAGTAAGTACGTAAGGGTTATTATCACAAAGTGGTGACCGTAGATTACCTAGTAAGTACGTAAAGATTATTATCACGAAGTGGTGACCGTAGATTACCTAGTAAGTACGTAAAGATTATTATCACTAAGTGGTGACCGTAGATTACCTAGTAAGTACGTAAAGATTATTATCACAAAGTGGTGACCGTAGATTACCTAGTAAGTACGTAAGGATTATTATCACTAACTGGTGACCATAGAATTAGTAAGTACGTAAGGATTATTATCACAAAGTGGTGACCGTAGATTACCTAGTAAGTACGTAAGGATTATTATCACTAACTGGTGACCGTAGAATTAGTAAGTACGTAAGGATTATTATCACAAAGTGGTGACCGTAGATTACCTAGTAAGTACGTAAGGATTATTATCACTAAGTGGTGACTGTAGATTACCTAGTAAGTACGTAAGGATTATTATCACTAAGTGGTGACCGTAGTTTACCCTTGAATTTCATAAAATAAATTTTCTAGACAATGTTAATTGTTTTTGGTGAATCACAACCAAGACGAATTTGATACTGTTTTTGATGTGTATTTTATTATGTAACAGACTTAAAACATTTCGCGGATGATCAGTCTCTCGAAATTGACATAGTATTTAATTTCTTCTTGATAATTATTTCTCTAAGATCTCTCTGCAATACGCGTTTATAGTCTTTTTTTTTAGCCCTGATTTTTCCGTTAACATGAAGTTGTGTGTTTCTTTAAAGTTCTGTAAGTATTGAGCCATTTTAAGATACGCCTAATATCGAAGATCAAGGTCATTAATTCTTTGATGAGTAAAGGGCCAGAAAATATGTTGGGAACTAGTATGTTTCCTATCTTCACGTATAAATCTTCTCATTCGTCATGCGACCAAGTTGAGAAAACTATTTTTCAACCTACCATCCCTGTTGACTTTAAAGTTACGTGCGTAAAAGTAGGTGGGCAAATAGATTTTGCGTTGAAGGGAGTGTCAGATGTATTTTACGTAGAAGGGAGGGGCAGATGTATTTTGTGTAGAAGGGGTGCAGATGGATTTTGTGTAGAAGGAAGAGGCAGATGGATCTTCCATAGAAGGGAGGGACAGATGGATTTTGTGTAGAAGGGAGAGGCAGATGCATTTTGGGTAGAAGGGAGGGGCAGATGGATTTTATGTAGAAGGGAGAGGCAGATGGATTTTGTGTAGAAGGGAGGGGCAGATGGATTTTGCGGAGAAGGAAGAGGCAGATGGATTTTGAGTAGAAGGGAGAGGCAGATGGATCTTCCATAGAAGGGAGGGACAGATGTATTTTGTGTAGAAGGGAGGGACAGATGGATTTTGTGTATAAGGGAGGGGCAGATGGATTTTGCGTAGAAGGGAGAGGCAGATGCATTTTGTGTAGAAGGGAGGGGCAGATGCATTTTGCTTGCCACGACTTGGAGAATAGTATTCAAACTTACCTAAAAGTTGGTTGGTGTTTCAAAAGGATGTTAGGTTTGTCTGCTTCTTCGGGTTTAGGTTTCGGTGCGATGGGTCTGTTATAATATACATACTCTGTGGTCGTTTTGTTGTACTTTCCAAGCTCTTTTGGTAAATTTGCCCGTGGAGTCGAGGTGGCCACGTAACCAGTGTATTTATTCTCAGGAATTTCCAGTTGTTTTACGTAACACATGGGCCTCAAAACGCGGTCAGATGATGATGCTGAAATGATGAAACATTTCTTTGTCTTAGATAAGGAACTTGATAAGAAAAGTACTGAAAAAATTAACAATTGTGATTGGTTAAAATTATCACAATAGTGGTTTAATTTATGTTTACACGTACAAGTAAAATTCAATTTCAAAACAGCCCTCCCTGAATGCTTCTGCAGGAAGTCCGAAAACTTGTAACACTAAAAAATCAAGTTTCGATACCCACTGTGGCCAGAGCCGAAATAGTCCGTTGTGTATTTTAGCAACAAAGAAATAATTCATTGCAGATTTTGAGAACTCACCAAGTTTTTATGTACACTTACATTAGATACTTTATTTTTTAATGGATTGTCATTCTTTTACGTGATGTACAGGAGTTCAAAAATAGTTATATTAGAAATTGAGCTGTGCGAGTTCATAGGTACGTTTTAACATCAAAGTGCAAGCAGCACTAAGAACGTAGATTTCGGACCTCAGTTTATATATCAACGAACTGTCCTTTACCAATGTTCGTCATTGGTCCTAGTCAAGATCTTGAAGACATTAGAATGGACAGGAATGTCACACTTATCTAAAACTAAAGCGTGTGTGAGTATATTGGACGTAACTGGTGATCTTAAGTTGGCATGTTCTTTTATAAGTGTTACTAATTTTCTTTTGGTAGAACCAATGTATTGACAGCAATAAAGGAAGTTTGTAAAGTTGGAACTTGGTACTTAAATTGAAAAAACTAAGGCGAGAATTAGGTTTAAAAATACGCCACAACATGTGTACCGTAAGGATAAAAATTTTCAGCTGATTCTTAATAATCAAGGAATATTCATCCACATAGGGTAAACCAACCCCCCAAAAAAGAGGTACATCATAAATTTCGGATGTAGCAACACTTTGTTTGTTTAAATAACAACGAAGTATTCTTTGAATAAAATAACTTGGATATCCATTTTTACATAAAAGTTCTTTGATATTGAAATATGTTTTATGTACACCATCATATGTGCTAGATATCTCATAAGCACAGTAAAAAAATATTTCAATTAAATTTTATTTAAAAATGGTAGAAATGAAACTTACAATATTAAAGTATAATCCTTTAAAGGTTTTCTTCTGATAAATTTCACATTTAAAATGTCCGTTATTATTATTATTTATCAGAGTATTCAGGGATGAACGTTTACGATATTCCTGATTTTCAACAGTAAACATCATACTGCTGCATCCACTGTAGAAATCAGAAGACCTGATCAGAATGTTTAAAAACCTTAAAAATATCATCAACATACCCGCTATAGTACAGTCTTGTGGACAGTTGTACAGCCATTGCTTTTCAAGGAAACACAAAAAACAGTTTTGCAAGAGATGGGGCCATTGTGATGCCATCAACCTTATCATTCAACTTACCATTCAAAAGGAAATGAGACTCTTTAATGGCAAAATTAATTCGTTTAATAAAATGATCTTGGAATTCACACGTCATTGGAATTATCGTTGTAAATCAGAGCAGCTGTGTAGTCTTTTGTAATGATATATTAGGATATAATGATTCAATGTCTAAACTGGCACAATGAACATTTTTATCAAGTTTCTGTTGTTGAACTTCATGACAAAACACAAAACTGTTTTTTAAGGTGTATTCATTTGTAGTGAACTTTTTAAAAATATCTACCATAGGAGATTCCTGGACGACCACCTGATAGTCTAATATTCAATTAAAGAGTAATTATAAGTTTTAGTATTAGATGCCATTGGTCGTAAGGGGCGTCCTACTGTATGAACATTTATTAACCATAGGAGATTCCTGGATACCCACCTGATGGTCTAATATTCAATTAAAGAGTAATTATAAGTTCTAGTATTGGATGTCATTGGTCGTAAGGGGCGTCCTGCTTTATGAACATTTGTTAACCATAGGAGATTCCTGGATGACCATCTGATGGTCTAATATTCAAATAAAGAGTAATTATAAGTTCTAATATTGGATGTCATTGGTCGTAAGGGGCGTCCTGCTGTATGAACATTTATTAACCATAGGAGATTCCTGGATACCCACCTGATGGTCTAATATTCAATTAAAGAGTAATTATAAGTTCTAATATTGGATGTCATTGGTCGTAAGGGGCGTCCTGCTTTATGAACATTTGTTAACCGTAGGAGATTC